AATAATTGGGCTGACTGATTATCCTGTAGCCCTTGAAAGATGTATGATTACTGGACCAGAACTTGCTTGCATCTCTGAGGAGTTCGAAAACACACCTCAAAAAGGTCACAGGAAGCACCATGAACAGTATCCTAAATGTCGAGAAACTTTGAGAAGATTTGAATGGCTTAATCAGTGCATTCTCTGATGTGGGAAATCCTTTCCTTGAAGTATCTTGACAGGCCCAGAATCATGACAGGAGATGTTGTGAGCTCTATGAGAAACATCACAAAAAAATTGGAAAAGGCAAGTATGATACATTCTTTTCAGAAAGGGTTTCATCCAGCACATCCCCATGGACCTCCACCTTTCACCTGAATAGATTGCCTCTTTTTGGTGTAAAAGCTCAACAACGTAAAGAAAAATTCTACCTTGCTTCTATGAAGGAAGAGCGAACCCAGTATATTTAAATGATGCTCCCCGGGTAAGCAAGAAGGGACATTGATGAAGAAATGTTTGCACATGAGAACACTACATTACCACCATCTCTTAGTTCCCAGGGTCAAATGCACAAAAAAACAAAATCTGAAATTCTCAAGTGCTTCGAAGGTGATATTGAAGATTCTACTTCTGATAGGCCTACTTCTCCTAATTTTGATGTTGTTATTCTTGATGGAGCCTTCATCGTGCAATCAATGAGACCTGGTACAGCTTCAACATTTCAGGATTATGCAGACCAGGTGTTTCTTCTATATTGTGATGTCATGGCTAAAGGGTGTGTCGTGGGATGCCTACAAACACGATAGTCTCAAATCCAGCACTCGGGAAACCAGAGGCAGTGGTATGCGGTGTCGAGTGACATTATCAACCAAAGTAGCGAGTAACTGGCAAGGATTTTTACGGGTCGATGAGAACAAAACAGAACTGTTTTCTCTTTTAGCAGAGAAAATGCAAGAGATGTACACAGAGGGCAAGCAAGTTGCTACAACCTTCGGAGAGAATGTTGTCACTTCACCTGTTCGCTCAAATACTCGCGATTTAGCACCTTGTATTCACGAGGAAGCTGATTCAAGGATTTTTTCCAAGTTGCAGATGCGACACATGAAGGATTTGAACACATCATCATTCGTGCTAGTGACAGTGATGTGGTGATAATAGCTGTGTCCTGTTTCCAAGATCTCAACCTTAATGAGCTCTTGATAGCCTTTGGACCCGGCAAATCATACAGACATATCCCAGTTCACCAGATTGCTATGCAGTTGGGACCTTCCAAGCTCTTCTAGCATTTCATTCTCTGACCGGCTGTGACACCACCTCAGCATTTCAAGGAAAAGACAAGAAAACAGAATGGGCTATTTGGCAGGAATTCCCAGAGCTCACTGCAGCACTTTAGCGCCTGTCAACATTCTCTAGTAGAATCGATAATGATGTCATGTCCTATGTATAATGTAGAGGCATTCATCGTTCGCCTTTATGACAGGTCCTTGAACATGATCAAAACAGCACGCATGGAATTGTTCTACTACAAAGCAGACCTTTTGAGAACTTACCACCTACAAAAGATGCATTGCTACAACACACATTAAACGTAGCATATTATCAGGCAGGCCATATCTGGGGCCAAGCCCTCATCTGTTCTCCAACCTTGCCTGACTCATATGAATGGGGATGGGTTATGACCAATGACAAGTGGTTACCTCGATGGACAACACTTGCCCCTATTACAAAGAACCACAAATGCCTTGTAACATGTCAGTGCAAGAAATTGTGCAAGCCTCCATGCAAATGTTGCAAAGCTGGTGTGAAATGCAGTACTCTCTGTGCATGCAGGGGAGCTTGTTTCAATCAAGGAAAATAATGTGTACATATATCGGTGAACATAACGCATTGGTTATTGGAAGAAATATGGGTGAACCTGGCCTGCTAAAGGGATTTTAAATTACAAAAACAAAACCACATGTGTAGTCCTGGCATCTTCCCAAAATTATGGTTGTGCGTCATTAAAAAAAATTTTTCAAGGTGGCCATTTTTAATGTATGCAAATTAAGAATCAACTTGACCTTTTATGATAATTCTTTGGGTGTCATTGAGTTTGTTAGCCAGAACTTACTATGAAACAATAACACATTTATATTTGTATCATTCTTCTGTCAAAAGTTATATATATTCGGTTCGTATTTCCATTATACTTCAGTGGCGGCCATTTTTCATTTATGCAAATTAGGAGTGAATTTGACCTTACTTTTATTATAACTTTGATAGTGTCATTGAGTTTGTCAGCCATATATTTATATGAAACAACACCAAAATTAATGTTCTACCATTTGTCTGTCAAAAGTTATATACAGTTATCATTTTCATTATATTTCAGTGGCGGCCATTTTTAATTTATGCAAATAAGGGCCTGAATATGCATGTGGACCTTGTGTCCGTTTCTATTTTCCGATGATATGGTGTAAGGTACTTACATGCCAAGTGGTTCCTTCCTACTAAAATTTGCAGTGGGTAATGGGACTGCTGGCCTAAGTCGGCCCACTATTAGATTTAGATCCTAATGAGGGAAAAAAGCGAGCTAAAAATATACCCAAATAAAAAGACTTAGTACATGTACAAGTAGACAAATTAATCCAACTAAAAGGCAAAGAGGCCAAGGAAGCTTATGTTGATGGAAAGTGTTTTAGGCTATGGGCTACAGGGAGTGAACCCCTGCCCCTCCCCCCCCCTGGGGATTTTTCGCCACCATGATTTTCTGAAAGGGTAGGACCTAGGGACTTCCCCCAAAAAAGTTTGCACCAAAATGTTGGCAATCTACAGAGTTACGGCCCTTGATTGTTCAGAAATTAAGAAAATACTTGATTTTTATGTTGGGGTTCTCTGTGAAGCCAAAAATGTGTACTTTCATATGATGTAAAACTCAAATATTCTAAAATGATGTAAGTGTTGTAAAAATATTTTTTGCTAATTAATTACAAGCTGCAAAGAGGAAAAAAAGAAACTTCTCAAAATCTATAGAAATGATTAATTCCATTGCTTCAGATCTTCTATAACCCGGTACAATAGTTTTCTGACAGGTAGGCCTACACACTTAGACTCAAAGTTTGAGGCACAAAATAAGAAGGATTTTGTGCAAAATAAATATGAGTTAAGGAGTTCCTTGCTATTGCTAATTGCTATATTGAAAAAATACAAAACTGCCGCGTGTCATTTTAAATACGTCAAAAAGGCGGCATGAGTACTTTTGTCTCAGATATAGTCTAGATCAATCATATGGGCATGATAAAGGTGTCTTGAAAAACATTTTGTTAGTTAAAGCTAATTTAAAAGAAGACAGAGGTGAACAATTTGAAGTCTGGTTTTTCTAGCAATGTACAATTTTCTTTTATACGAGTATGCTTCAGAGAATGAATGGAATGTTCAAAATTAAGCAAGGTAGAACTGAAATCAGTTTCCTTGACATAAAAGAAAGAGAGGTCAAAATCTCAAAAGAAAGAACACCTTGAAGAAAGGACATGTGCAGTGCATAACAGTA